ATCTAAAAATGATGCTGCGAAACACTGAAATATCGCTCGCTACGTGCAAAGAGTGGGATTGCTGTGGCCCATTACGTTGCCATCGCAGCTGATGAAAATGATTTACGACCTGTGTTCAACTTATCAAGCGCCGCAAACTTAACCTTGGTGGAAACATGAACATTATCCAGCCCTATTTAGAGTTGCGGTATCATTGAAATAAGACGCACTTTGCGTATTATTCAATGGGACTGTAGAATGCGCACAGACGAGCCAAAGAACTTGGAAAAAAAGCATGAAAGTTTTTTTTTACCAAGCAGCTGCTCTCTTTCTTTCAAGGGTGAAATAATCTTTTTGATCCCGTAAAGATCAAAGCTTGATTGTACATTTTTCTCGGTTATATAATATCACATTTAGAGTGCTTAATTATCGAAGTAAACAACTTCAATGCCATACAATGCGCTTTGTTTTCTTGTTATATCAGCCTTTTCCAAAATATTGACCATCTTAACATGATTTCACTTGATAACACTTCATCAAGAACGTTCTGAACTTCACTTGAATGATCAATTTCATATTTAATTAAAGTAGCAAAGTAACTATAAAAATAAAATAAAAATAATAAAACATTCAGTAACCAGGCTGCACAGGGAAAAGCATAGCGCACGGTCCAGGGAGTTTTCAGTCAAGTTTTCGCGATAAGAAAAGAGAGAAAAATCATAATTTATTTTCCAGAGTGTTTCTATTTGTTGCCCCCTTATGGTCCAAACAGATTGCGAAGAAATTCTGGGAAAAAAGGGAGGGAGACGTCACAGGTCACAAGTAAGCAGCCAGGAGGCTATAGGGACCTATAAGCATGACTCAAAATGGCGGCGTCTGTCGTTGAATTCAAGCATGTTTAAGGATACTTTTATAAAGGTTAGGTTGACCTTTGAAAACTAAAAACGCGATCAATGTGATAATTTCATAGATAATTTCTAATTACGGAGACAAAAAAAGCAAACTTTTCTTTCAATATAATTCATTTTGTTGCACTTTATTTCGCTCGCCTAATGAGAGAAACCCTAATATCAATTCATTAACTAAGTGGAGAAATCTTTCCGCCAGCTTTGATGAGGATTGAACGCAGCCTCCCCCCCCCCCTCACCACCCGAGAGACTTGCCACACTGACCCCCTTGGACAAAACTTTTTCTGCCCACCTAATCCAATATGGCGTTTAGCGAAGATTCAACAATAATAATAATAATAATAAGACTTTATTTATTGAGGATAGCACGTGATAGTGCACAAACACTAATAAACTTGTGGTCCTCCTAATTACAAAAGATTACAAATATAAATAGAAATTTAGCTAATTACAAATAATATTTAATTGATAAAATATATAATACAAGATAATATAAACAAGTAAGAATATATAAAACTACTATCAATAAAATTTACCGATTAAAATGAGCTAAGCATGATTTGTCATCATAATAATATTTAAATACGTTGTCTTTAAAGGCCTTAAGTGTATTAGACTTTTTTAATTCAGGCTTTAACTGATTCCATAATTTTATGGCAGAAACTAGAAAAGTTTTCCCTCCTTCTCTAGCCCTTTTAAACTTAGGTAATAAAAAGTTGTATTTACAAAATCTAGTGTTGCGTGAATGTACTGAACTTAATAATCTTAAGCTATCATTAAGATAATTAGGTACACAATAATTAATCCTTTTAAATAGTATTGAACATTTAGCTATCTTAGTAGAGTTATAAAATGGTATCCACTTTAAACGATTGAATAGCATAACTGATGAACTACGTGGTTCAGCATCTAATAAAACCCTAGCAGCTCTCTTTTGTAGCCTAAGTATTCTTAAAAGAGATTCATTAGAGNACCTAATCCAATATGGCGCTTAGCGAAGATTCAACAGTCGATTACTAAAAAATTTTAATGGCTATGTGGTGTGCGATGGTTTGGTAGCATCCTTAGCTGGTTGATTGTGGACCCTGGGGGTGTAGTCACAACTCAGTTAGATATAATCCTAAAAGTTCTGGTTCTGAGGACAGTGCTTAAGCATTTCTAGCTGCGATTGATTCTTGCACTTATTGCTGTCTCAACCCGACTGAGGAAAATTTAATTTGACTTCGAAAAAGATTTCCAGACGAGTTTTAAAAATGTAGAACGCGCGAGCTGATCTGAATGAAAAATATTCCCCAAGGAACAAGGCTGCGGATAAGTGGGATGCTCATGTCACACAGGGAACAGGGGTCAGATGAGTGGAATGATAACATCACCCCCTGACAACCGGGGTCAAATAAGGGGAATGATAATATCACCCCCAGAGAACCAGGGTGGAGGTAGTGTGGTTGAGTAAAATTTAGAACCGAGAGAAAAGGGAAGCAGTTAACCGGGATAGTAAAATTGCCCTGGGGAATAGGAAGGTAGATAGGGGGGAAAGGTTAATTTCATTCCAATGGAACTGGAGGGCACACTGAGTGCACACTCTTGAAGACGCTGTCTTTGACAACAGCCTAAATACCTAAATGTCGATAAATATCACAGAATTATGTGAGTTTGTCAGCACTTAACCTCGGTACTTGAAGAATGACGACATGAAGACGAGAGCGGGTAGTAGGAGCGGAACTGAATCCAGTGCCGGCGGCCTTAAGTTGCTCTCTGATATCAAAAGTTCATCAGTGATCTTCACGAAATATCAAATGGGCGAAGGCCTCTCTTGGTAGAGGAAAATCGTTTGAAATCGTTATTGAATCAACAAAAACATGCTCTTCACCCTCCAAAGAGCGTACGATTACCAGTCAAAAAAAAGAAAGTGTCGGCTCATCCAATCAGTGTGGACATCTCTACGCACACAATGAACACTTTGAGAAAAAGTGCACACCGCATGCATCAATATCGCTGATTGCTCTTGGGTAATATTAGTAGCTCTAATTGTGATGACTGTTCCTTCGGAAGGACTAGACGAAGACACGGTCTTCTGATATGCGATGAAAAGATAATTTGGGACCCTCATTCACACTAAGATTATGAATTTTATTTTTTTTTTTTTATTGTTTCGGTCCAGGTGATAAGCCCGCGACGAGTTTCTCCACCGCGATGGTGATACTACCGGCTGCTGCTGCTAAAGAGAAAACTGAAGCCTTTTCAATTGCTTTTCAGTGTTTGTGTTTTTCCAGGCAGTTTCCGGAACCTCTGTTTCTCACTTGCTGTCGCTAAAAGCTTTCACACAATAGCCCCTAAACAATACGCGTCAGTATTTAGTTCTCGTTAACACCCCTTAAATCAAGAACTGCATTTAAAAATTTCCAGACCTCAAGCAGGCTAAAGCCAAATTCTACAATCCCTTTTATTAGAAGAGCCGCCTTTACTGAGTTCTATTTTAGAAGAAGGCCCGTCTGGCCAAAGTGATCTAATATGTCAAAACCCAACCTAAACGTTAACCTTGAGAGTTTTTTCAGTGTGGTTTTTGGCGGACTTAATCGGTAAACAGAAAAGCTGTAACTCACTACGTGTTACTAAATGATGAAAAGATTTCATAGACGACTTGGAAAAAAGTCAAGGAGAAGAGCTCGTGGAGACAGAGGTATGAAAAAATAACCCCTCTCCAATCTCTAGCTTCTCTCAAATTGTTCCTTACAATATTCATGAAATTTTATCTGGTTCATACAAAGTGACTCTATGTAAACAGAACTTGCCGTCTGTTTTGTCAGACTTTTTAATCTCCATTCTGTTCCAGTCTTCAAAATTCAGGTTGTGTAAAAAATCAACGATCAGTCGTGCCGATCTATTCAATTTTCGGATAATTTTTGCTGGAGACTGGCGGAATTGCCACCACAGATCTGGATGAACATGTCCGGCCAGCCAGATGCCGGCGAAATGACCTGTAAACCTCCCAAATGCCATATTCCCTAAATCAAATTCGTCGTCGGAAACGTATTGAAGCCATTATTTGACAAAATCAGGGAGAGCGGTGTTTTGGATTAAAGCAAATATTGAGATCGTCTTGCACGAAAGTCTGGACGTAATCATATTTCACATGAAAATACCTCATCCATCTTTTCAGAGGTGCTATGTTGAGAGACAAAAAAATGTAATGAATTTCTGTTTTCTTTCCTTGTATTAGTTTTCAACCAACTTCAAAAAAATTGTTACAGCTCTAATGAAAAGCAGTTTGGTGGTTTGCTGTTAGATTGAAATGGAAATCATGGAATAATTAAAAAAGTGAACGAAAGTTAACCGCAATCAACAACTAATTTATAGTAGAGTATAAGGGGGGAATATTTCGTTTATCAGATTCATTTTTCTCGCCTTTATTGCTCTAACGTTAAAACATAAGATACTGATATTCAATCCACCGTAAGTTCAAGCAAAGGTCTACTTATATAAAATTAGTACTCTACTCTAATTGGCTACTTTTAGCACCAGCCAATAAAATCGCAGCTTTTTCTCATTAAGAGCTTTGATTAGAACAATCGAATCAATTTCTGTCAGTCGCACAAAGCACTAAGCCGAATTCTCTTCTTTACTTCAAACGGAGCGAGTCAACTGGGTCATATAGCTAGAATTTTGCCACCAAGTTTTCCCGCATCATTCTTTACTTCTGTTATTGTGGCCTGTGTAGTAGAAATGAGCTGAAAGCATTGTTGATATGGGAAAAAAGTACAGCAAACAAGGTAAGGTTCTGTGTGACGAAGGTCGCCGACCACGTTCGCTCGATGGCTTAACTCTTCAAGACAAGATGCCATAATTACATGTTTAATATACCACCGTGCGTATTCTCGGCGTGAGGCTTAACTCTATACTCTTCCTCATCGAAATTATTTTCCTTTGTAGCGTGGATTTCAAGAGAGGGACCCGAAGGTAAATACACAGTCTCAGAACGAACCAAGAGCTGTTAAATTCGCCTTGTTTATTTTTCGTTGCCTTTGCGCAGAGTTCACGCCGATTTAATAATTTCTTTTCGTTTTCGCCTTCTGCTCTTGAAAACAGGGGACTGCGTGGTTGAAAATGACGCTACAAATCTGACACTTGATTTCACAGAAGAACCGAAAGAAAAGGCCACATGTACAGCCGACTTCACATATAAGGGCTACCCTGTCAATGTAGTGAGTATAACATCATTGATTTGCCGTTTATAGGGAATGATTGACTCTTCTGCCGAGACCCATATAAACCGTCCACCTTAAATATCACCATATAATACGTTTGGAGCTTTTTATAACATGCCTTTCACGATCGCAGCTTTCTTGTATTATAATGAAATGTTTTTGTGTAGTTGTTGGGGGCTAGCGACGGCTTTGATAGCTGTCGGTTTCGAGTGAAGTGATAAAACAACAGAGCCACTCGCAAAGGTCAACACCGCACCATCGAATGGTCGACTTGCGCTCATGATTTGTCATTTTTGCAAATCGCTTTGCGTTCCTAAACGAATACAGCTCGCTACTCCAAACATGAGTAGTCGCATTTGTGCCAAATTGTGGTCACGTTTTGAGATGCGAATTAGGAGATGACGACGTTTTGAAACTCCTTGGGTAGACTAAATAAATCGATATCTTTTGCGGAGATATTAAATTTTTGGCAGATAGAACGAAATATGCGTGTAGCTGCTTAAACGCGGAAAATAGTGGAGGAATTAAAATTCCAACAGGCGTAATCGACTGTTACTTCTTGTTGCTTTAAGCTTGAAATACCGTCAAAGAAAGCGATTTCCGTCTATTCCTCAGCATTCGTGATCGTGACACTGGTTCATTGAGAGGGCCTTCTTGAATCACCGTAAATAACTTTGGGCCTGTCAACAGAGGAGCGGCAGGCTAAAAGATTTCTGATGATGTTTCCTGAAACACAAGGGGACATGTTTCCTGCACGCCTCACCTTCTTACACGCTATCTCTACCCTTCAATCTGTTACAGAGTATTTGAATGTAAAAGAAAATAAATACATTTCTGTGTGTATAACATGCTTAAGTAAGTGTATACTGCCTTCATAAACATGTAATGTTTATTTTATGATGTCATCTCTCGTTTTTTAAAGTCTTTGTGTAGCGAAAGAAATGTTCATAAGATGAAACTCGGTTTCTGTTCATTTAAGATTTTTCCTGTTTTGATCTGAAGTGTCGAAAAAACAGTTTTCAAAGAGGTTTCTAGCGGATAATTTTGTTGTAATGAATTGAGTAATGCCATCAAGCTTTCCGTTTTAGGTTTTGTCTGAGCCCGAATTTGTTTTTCCCTGCTGTTAGCGAAATCAAACCCCATATTTCCAAAAACATACAGCCTACTTTACTTTTGGGGCTAAACTTTGATCACGCACCGAGAAGAAACAAATTTTAAAGTAGATTTTAACTTTCGATTCACCACGACTTTTTGTAGAAAACTTAAACGCATTTTCAGCCATTTTTTTCAGACTTTCTGTAACAAGTGATTTAAAAATGAAAACACAAATGCCGCACAATTACGCAAACTAGTATAACTTTTAAGAAAAATTATGGTAATTTTTACAAGAATATTAATTATGCAGTTCTAACCCTTAATCAATGTTCACTCATTGTAGTAGATGACAGCTAAGATTTTTTCTTTTGTCGTGTGACAAGAATGATTTAATTGTTTTTGAAGCGTAGGAATTTAAATTGAGCCGCTGTAGTCAAGTACCAGATATCACGTTTCGTTCTCGGTAGAAAGCTCTTTAAAAGCTTATTTCTCTATGCTGATGCCATTCCTTCACATTCTTCATCTTGAAAACATTGCAACAGAGCTATGTCCTCAGATGTATGCAAACCCAAGGTTTGTTACCTCTGTAAGAAGCTTATTTAGCCACTGGTAGTCAGCAGAGTTCATCAAGATACATGAGGCAGTTTCAGTTTTGGGATCTCCTATACAGTTCTTGTGTCTCTTCCTTAGCTGATCTGTTTCACAAATCTTCATTGTCATTCCACTTCCTTTGCTTGGGGACAAGAATTGAATTATTATATTTTGTTTTCTTTTTTCTGTAAGCTGCAAGATGGACCCTGTGGATCAGAAAAAGAGTTGTGTAAAAAGTATTCTTACTATGACTATCCCATTGAAGGTATGCTGTGATATTTGTTTGCCAGAACTCTGTCATTGTTACCACTCTTTTTTGGCTGAGAAATATGAACTAGTTAATTTGGATTATATTTTAATTAGATGTTATAATTCAATTATTGATGTCCAATGAATACAAGTAGCATTTTTTAAACTCTTTGTAAGCTTTTTAAACACACTTTGCAGCCTTTTTATCAATCAGTTCAAACATTCTCATGGCAATTTTCCTAAACGAATTATTCCTAATCCACCTTTGGAGAGATAATTTGTGTTAAATGAGAAAATCTTGTGGAAGGTGCAAGGTTTCTAATTGACAGGAACGGAATTTGTTTTTCACAGGATTGCCATCAAACATTGTAACTTTACATGCATAATTGCTTTCATTGAAAGTCCCTAGAATAAAACTTGTTAAGCTATTATACCTTAAAATATTCCAGTACACAAGAGGCCACATTCTTGATGTACTTATCATTTATGGTTCAGTAACGAGGTAATTGTGGTTGACATTCTTTGTTGTGGTACAGAGTCAAAAAAGGTCACAGTCTAAATGATTGGATTGATTCTAATACAGCTCTGTCCCTATCTCTAAATCCTAGGTGGAAAAAAGAGAAGTAATGAACTTCCTTTCCCCGGTAAACAATGTGGAAAGGATGTACTGGGTTCATCTTGTTATGATGATCGCATTTAACCAGGGCCTAGAAGGATGTTGGTTAAACACAGCCTTGTTCTTGTCTATACATGTAGATTAGGAAACCAGCAAAATTTGCTTTGGGGTGTTTAGCAAATGATTAAAGTAATCTATCAACTGCATTTTGAAGCTGTAACAGAAAGTGTGTCATTATTATCATTTTATATCCTTCATATTTTCCTTTCATTCAAAATGTTAGGCCCCAAATATAGATATGTTCTTAGGTACAAGGAGATAATTCAAAACCAAGGTTGTTTTTGTCCTTGATTAGCAATAGCTGCTTTTCAAACAAACATCTCTTTTAATACAAGGAAAGAAATTAACCTGCTTTGCAAATATAACCACTGAAGGTGTAACATTTGTATTTGTTTTTTTCTCTTGGCAGTTGTTGAATTACCAGATGAGCCAGATGGTAAAAGATTTGAACTGTTTTTTGAGCGCGAAGGACAAGTTGAAGCCTCTACCCAAACCACCAGGCCAATGAAGGTAAATTTTAAACCACTCTTACAAGTATATCTTGCAGATTTGCCCAAAAATATCCATCATTGAAAAATCCCATCGAGTTTTTTGTTTTTGTTCTTGTTCTAGCACATGAAACAGATGTTTGAACCTTGATCTTCTTCATGTGACTTTTATTTTACCTTCTTGTTTTTTTTTTTTTTACACAATCCAATAAAGGAGTAAGTTGTTAGAAAAAGTGTGGTGATGCATCTGTGGGGTTATCACATGATCATTTGGTTATCACATGATCATTTGGTTATCACATGATCATTTGGTTATATCAAAGCTAACTTTTCCTGTGTTAGCCCCGTGTTAGAGTGAATGGAAGAATTGTGGGTTGTGTGTGGCTAACATACCGAAAGGCTGAGCCATGCTATTGCAGTGTAGACTAAGTAACATGAAAAACATGAGGATCAATTGGTTGAATAAAAAGCATTTGTAAGATTATATCGCTTGACTTTCAGAAATAAATGCCAAGCATGATATGTTGAAGCAGTAACACTAAATGTACTCTCCTAAAATATTTAGGCTTCACATAAAGCTTCTCTACCTTACATTAGTTGCACCGCTGGCATTATTTTACTAATGTTGCAATTTTAAAAGCTGCTGTATTTCTAAACTCTACAGTACAGCAATTACTGCAGATTGTTTTAATCATACTCTTCTTAATTTATGGAAGTCCTGGGCTCTGAAGGTAAAGTAGTTTACACAACAGCATGTGACTTTTCCTCACTGTTGATTGGTTTATATTTTTTACAGGCAATAAGTGAATGTGGTCAGTCAATAAAATCAGTGGGATCAGACCGGCAGGAATGGTCATACACTCTTTATGACTTTGAGGGCCAAGGCCAAGTCACTCGAGATGTGAGTTTCCGTTGTTGACAACAGAAGTGTTATTAACATGAATTGCCCTGGAGAAGGTTATTGGAAAAGAGTAGTGACATAAGTCCATACAGATTGCTTCTGACCAAGTGTGATTTCTCAAGACAATCATGATATTCAGGGCTTGGGATAATGAAGTTCTGTTCTCTGATTAATTCGGTTTTCTTCACCAGATATTGTACAGTGAAACAGTGTATTGTACATTCATTAAGTAGTAGGACAATTGTCTGGTAGCTTTGCAAAATTCTTTGGCTGAATTTTGATGGTTTAAGGCAAATTTCAGTTATATGTGGAAGACATTCTGTTGTTACTTTACAATATTCTCCCACTGTTCTCATGTCTCTATTAGAAAGCCTGTGTCAGAGTTCTCTCTATTTAAGAGCTGATTTAAGAACATTTTTTATCAGGTTAGCTTTTGACAACAGAGCAGTTCATGTATTTGAGAGAATGTAATTTAAAATGTGTAATCTTTAACTTTTTCACCTACTACAAATCCAGAAATAAGCTATTCCCCTTGAACAGGCAATACTTGAGTGCACCTTCTATGAGCCAAATGTTTTTGAATGTGTCTCATCTTGTATAAATGTTGCAATTCAGAACAATGATCATAGGTGTATTTTACCCATTTGCCCTTTCTTCCAGCCCCTTGATAGATTTGAAATAAGCACCTCTGGAGGTCTTCTGAGGAATGAAGGTAATTCTGTTAAATATGTCAACCCCTGATAATAATATTCTTATTGTTTTAGGACCTGAGGAACCTTGTGAAGTCAATCTATGATGTCCTTGGCAAAAGCATTTCTCGTCCCAAAGGAACACAAAAAGACCCTGTTAAAAAACTCTGTGTTAAATTGTCACTGTCAAAGGAGAGAGGCAGAGATCTAAAGAGTAGGACAAGGCAGGAGTGTGTTCTGGCAGCAAGTGGCTTTGAGGAACATCCCAGAAGGAGTAAAGGGAGAAAGTACCTTTCCATACCAAGGGAGGGATCTTTGACTGTGAACCCTCCATCTTCAGACTGCCTCAGTCAAGTCCGACCACAGAACAGTCTGTGTGAGCCAATACAGTCAGTGAATCATCCCAGTAGTGGTGGGCATCATCGCAGATCACCATCATGTAGGAGATGCGAGCACAGACAACCTGTAGAAAAAGATTGTGTGAGAAATGACCCCAGAAGAAGTGCCAACCCTGTTGACTCAAAGGGGATGTATCATTTTCCTAAGAGGATGCAAACTGGGCCCGGGGAATGCCACCCACCAGTATCAAATAGTGACGAAATGACCAGAGTTAAGGAGTGGATTGACCAGTGGTGTCATATGTATGACAAGGGAGAGGAAGAAGTCAGTGAAGAACACCACAGGCATAAACATAAGGTGCACCATCGTCATCGTGTCTGTCAAACCAACAGCTGTGATGTGGCCTGTGGCCTTCGTCGCTGCCCTCAGTACCTAGATCTTGCCACAGATCACCTAACTTACCCTTATCACACAGAAAGTCAATCATTCCCCATTGCAAATGGATCACCCACACCACAGCACCATCACAGACATAGTGAACATCATCACTGTAAGCGCAGCTGTGCCAGAGACAATGATTTGTGTCATCATGATGGACAGCCAGTCATTCACCGTCATGAGCACCACCATCATCACAGTCATCATCATTATCATCACTATGTCAGCTGAATAACTTTCTTATTTAAACTTTACTTTTGACTAATATCATTTTATTGAGGTGTGAAATGGTGAGTCTTGTTAGGCCAGCTCACAAGCTGCAACCAAACTTAATGTATCATGCCATGTTACATCAGTTAGGGGTTTGACTCTGGATTAGTGATGGTGGAAAGTGATAAAATTTATGGAAATAAGCATTGCATATGATAAGTGGGATCCTGGAAGAGATCCAGTTTGTTACAAATGGTCAGGACTGAAACAAGGAAGGGTCACTCTCTGTTACTGAAACACAAAATTATCAGATGCAAGAATCTATGTTAATTAGATTTTTTTGTATAGCCAGTCACACCAAGTTGAATTGTGTATTTTGTACCTGTGTCGAAACTACATGCATGAACTGCAAACAGTGTTACAAATTGTCTCTGCAAGAATAGCTTTATTATATATTTCACTTTTTTAATATTGTACAAGGTACAGTGTATTTGTAAAAATCACCAGATTATTTCAGTTTAAAGGCAATATTTAACTGTTGTCGTATTCCATTCAATAACACCATGTGTGGGGTAATGAATTTTTAGACTGCAATGGAATGTGATTAAAGATGAATGGAAAATTTGTCCATCCATGAAAAGTAGTTTTGTAATTCTGTCACACAAAACAAAACAAAAGGAACACACTGGTTTTAAGTGACTTTTTTTGATCAACAAACAAATGTGCACTTTATTTTTGGTTAGGATACTCAACAGATTATTCATAGGTTATAGAAACATTTGGAGGTGTGAAGAGAAATTTATTTGTCTTTTTTTCAAGTGTATTATTGACTTTTTCTAAGCCAGTTGGTTGTGAACCAGGAATTTATGCTTTGTTGTTGTTGTATTCTCAGGCTAAAGTCCACTTTCTTTTTTAGGGTATAGTAGCTTTAAGAATCATACAAGCTAGACTTATAGTAAAATAGTATTTAGCCCAAGGATGAAATTGAGCTGTTAGAGGGTATTCCATGTAGAGTTTAAAGAATGGTAAAGAAGATTTTAAAATCAAACACCCTAGTTATTTCAGTCAAAATAAATTTAAAATATATCATACTCACATTGTATAAAATCATTTAAGAAATATTTAACAATTCCAGTGTATATTCAACATGTACTGTAATGATGATATTATATATTTCACAATGTATCAGGTAAATCTGTCTATTTTGATATTTGTATCTTGAGTCTAGATTAACATGCATATTCTTTTTAAACTGAGGGAGACAGTTTTTGGTATTCATGTTAATTGGCCCTCATTGCCTCAGTGTAGTCTAACCAATTAGTTTAGTTGGTAGAAACATTAAAGAATGATGTCATTGTCTTTGTAATAATGGTTATTAACCGCAATTCGTTCAAGTTACTTGCTCCACTTGCTAAGGTCAGATTTGCACTAATGTTTTCCGTTTATCAGGCCAACCTCTAAAAAGTTTTTAGAATAAAGGATGTACTTTGTATGATCCTCATCATTTTCATGTACCTCCAGACACCTTTTCGTAGAAATACAGAATAAAACTTGAAAGCTTTCTAGTCTACGTTAAATGTTTGGGGGTAAGGTGGTTAATGTCAACGTCAGTAGATACTTAGGTTGGGGTGCGCCTTAGGGACTATCAGAAGTGTCCCACAGCATGTTCGGTCTCGCAGTTGAATAAAGATATTTTAATGAGAGGTTTACACGGATTAGAGAACGCAAGACGAATCAGAATTATTTTTCTGCGTCATTTTTTGAAGCGGCACTATCTGTCACTTTCTTTGCCCGTAAGAAATACTGCACTCCTATTCATCCGGGGTGATGACGTAACCCTCCAAAAATCAGACTACACGAACTTCGTTAGTGTACTCTGAGTATGTATAATCGGGCCGTGAGCTTTAGGCACGTGCAGACGCACTTTATTTTTAATTTTTTGATGATGTAATTTCTCGCCTTTTACTATTTAACTCGATTCGTTCCAGCTCAGGTTCAATTGTCGGCTATAGATGTCAGTTTTGCTAGCATTATCCTTCCTGCTGAGCATTACTCAACCTACAGGAATTTTATTTCTCAGTTTCGACAGTTTCAGCCGTTTCACCGGTCGTTCAGCCACAAAACAGGGCGATGGCAGAGCGGACCTATATCGCCCTCCGCTACCCTGGCTGCGTAGTTTTACAAACTGATCGACTGAATGAATGCTTTTTCTTTTTCTTTTTCCCACTGAAGTTTGTTAAATGCACATATTGGCCAGCCCCGATTGTTCCAAAGGCCTAGTTATTCCATGGATCACGCTTTACAACACCAACAAAAAAAAAACAAAAAAAACAAAAAAAAACGCGAAATACCTGTGTTGACAATAGGTAAACTGTTTTATCGCGAGGAGCTGGAACCGAAAGATGCAAAACCATTAAGGCGGCTTTGATAGACTGACGACTTGTTGATGAGAGGTACAAAGCACATATCGACTTGTTCATGAGAGGTACAAAGCACATATCGATTAAAATGAGATCCAAATCAACTAAAAGTGTCGTCGTTTTTGGCGAAGAAGGGGAAGTTTTCTCACCGCAAGCCGAGGCCGAAGAGATGGCTGTGAGACCTGGGCTATCGGTGCGTTTGTTTTTAGCCCTGAAAAGGGCAATGCTTCTTGACTGGTAATAGCCCTCTCTACATATACTAAAAATGGGCTTTACTCGAACTTTTTCACAATTGTTAGACAAGTTTTGTTGTTTTTTATGAATGTTACTCGTCAACATGCAGTTGGGAATCCTTGTGCGGTAGAAGATCGGGCTGCTAACACCTGAACGAGAATGAGCGTCATACTCCACTAGTTTATTTATGGAGTCTGACGCTTCTCCGAGCTGAGACGAAATAATTCGTCATACCAGGCACGTACCACGCGAAATTCAGTTGCAGGTTCAACACGCTACTTTAGCGCTCGCCTTGTTTTTCGGTATTTGTTTAATATATCAATTTTATTTACAGCACGTGGGTGGACCAATAACAATACGAAAAGATCACTGGACTAATTGGTATGTGTAAGTTCCGACACTTTCATTTCGTTCGTCGTTTTGACAACTTACTATTGGTCCCTGTGTTTTACACTTACTGCCGTCTGCGAAAAATTATCGGAGGCATCGATAAAAATGTGTTACCAGCCGAAAAATTTTGAATCATACCCACGTAGTCTGATTTACACTTTAAACAATACATCTAACGGTTTGACTTGTTATTTATTTGGGTCGTGTTGGTACCCGGAGGAGTACATTTTAGGACCAAACCTTTGTTGCGGATTCCAGGCCTCCTCGGAGTAATGACTACTGCCTCCACTGAAATCCCAGTGCCCTTTTAGCTCCCTTTTTCCCTTAGAAATAAGAGCGGGCTATCAGACAACTTCCTATCAGATAATTGTGCTTTAGGGGCGAGTCAAGTTGTCTATTCGAATTAACCTTCCTGCTTGCAGACTGTTCCTCTTTACGAGGCTACTTTGGCTCGCGTTCGTGGTCGGAAAAGTTGTGAATATGATTCCAGTGTGTCAGAAAATGCTGCAAAAACTCTTCCTTAAATGGACGAGGTGTCGAGTACAGACCAGTATATCCAGACGAGTTTTGGGACACTATGTTAAACACAGAAATGCGAAACACTCTTCTACATGTTTTTTGGAGAGATCTTGTCAAGAAAGCATGTCTTCGTGGACCTGCAATTGATGTTCCAGTGCTCTGCCTTGGTGGTGAAATTCCCCGCCGGTGTAATTTTTTACTTCCAGCAGCCAGGCCAACCATTGGTGGTAAACTCTAGGTCATGTTCCTGACCAGAGTTCATGTTGGACCTACAACAGTTTTGTAAAATGGTCCGCCGCTATCAAGGAAAAGTCGACTTCCGATCGTTATTTTGTACATCGAAGAAGCACATCCAGTTGACGGTTGGGTGTTTACGGTAAAATTCTTGAATAAGAATAGTTAGAGTTCCGAGACATTTCAACAGCGTTACTCTGGATTCTAGATATTAAACTGTTCAAAAAACAGGACCGTAGCAACTACGAGGCAAGATGAGGCAATTGCTTCGTCTCGATTTTGCCCAAGACTGACTTCTCTGAAGAAAAATGCCACGGAAAATGTTTAAAAGAGCACTGATTTCTGAGCCTCTAGATTTCAAATTTTCTGGGGAGGCATGCCTCCAGACCCCCCCCCTAGCGGCTCGCACCTTCGGCGCTCGAAACTTGTCTTGTCTTGTTCCAAAGTCTGACTACGGCTCTGAAAAAGTATTTGTAGCAAACGTGTGCCATTTTTCAAAACGCTAGCAATTTCATATTTTATTAAATTTAAATTTATACCGCGCAATATTTTCAAGCAAATGCTGGGAGTCCTGTGAGCTGGGTTTAAACATTAGTGAGCGAGCCACAATGCAGAGATGGGAAGTTTAACAGGCCTACTGCTATGACAAATTAAGAGGAGTGAAGCTGACGACCCCTAGTCAATTCAGAAAACAAATAAATATTTACTTTCTGTCGCGCTTCAGACAACAAACTGAACGTTACGTAAGGACCCTTCCCTACGAAAAGTTTACCAATTTCTAGCGCATATTCTTAACATATTCGCAGTCTTTTTTTTCAATGTCATTTTGGTATTTTAAACTTAAGGACTCATTATACCACATATAACTGAAAATCCTGTTTTTATAAGTCTAGCGGGGAGCTTTGAAAGACAGTTATGCGGTCTAGAAGAGAGAGCAGTCAAAGAGAACCCAGAGTATGACAGTGTTAACGATTTAACCTATGAAAATATACGCTTTCAGAGATAAATTAACGACATGTTTTTTATTGTTTGTTCCATGATTCTTTCATTCATCACAATTGGAAATAAAGATGAAATACCCATCTAATTACATGAATCAATTACTTGCACGAAAAACACGTTCACTTGAATGAAAAGATCATGATCATTAAGACTTGCTGAAAAATTGACTTGGCTCTAAAAATGATTAAGGGAGTTGGGATTCTGGGACTTCAGTTCTCCTCAGGAGCTTAGAAGAAAAGCGCACATATTATTAAAAGTCAAATTAGGATCATCTCTTGGGAGGCCAAAAACACATCTTGCATTAAACCCAACGATCTCACCAATGAATGATAAACGTTCTCGATATTGGTTATTTTATGTCCATTCTTTCTAAACTGCAGTGAGCAAAAGATATATCCTTCTTATTCTATTTTTATGTTATCTTATTTTTACAGAACGACCCCAAGATACTTCAACACCGAACTATGGAAGAAAGGTGCGCGGCTGCTAAGCTTCTTCAGCGTCATTGTCCTGTTGGGGTTGCATTAGCTGTTGATACCATGTGTGACGCTGCAAATGCCGCTTAAGCCGCCATACCTGAAAGTCTTAACGTCATCAAGGATGATGTAATATTATACCAGGGAGGAGTAGGACCTTTTTCATACGATCTTGCAGAGGCGGACACTTGTCTGACTCAGGAACAAAATTCACATGGTATGAATAACAACCATGACAAATAATAACATGAATTAAATTTAAAGTGCGCATAACATTTTCCCACAAATTTCGTTTGCAAAAATGCAAATAGGTAAAGTTTGAAATGTTCTGAAGCGTCTAAGCCCCGTCCACACGAAGACGATTGTAAACGCAAACGCTAGTAAACGCATATTTTTATCTCCGTCCACACGAAAACGATCATCGTTTACGTAGCGTTTTCACCCGTCCACACGAAAACGCTCGTAAACGCATTAAACGATGTTTGAGCCTACAATCTGCTTCAGCGCCTTGTTATCAAGTGTTAGCGTCCATGTTGTAAAGTCACCACGTGCGTTTGTTGTGATCGAGAGAGAAGAAAAATGTCGACCTGGTCTGGTCCAGAATCTTCTCTCTTTGCTCTCACGTCTGCATCTAAGTCGTTTTACTCGAGTGAAAGTGCTTGTAGTA